ATCAACCGGGAAAATGCCATAATTTCTGCTTCCTTTTAGAGGGAGGAAACAGAAGCAAGGAGCCGGGTGAGGAAATTAGAGAGGTAGTGTTGTTTCGCTTCTAAACCTCCAAGCAATTCTGCCCCATGCTCCTGATATCTAGAGACATTCCCAAAGAAGACCCCTGATATTCTTTCATTCGTTTGTTTATTTGTCTGTAACTGTGAAGGAAGCTCCCTAAGGCCGCCAGCATCCATTCCACTCAATGCTAGGCCCCCAGCAAACACCATGCTTCACCTGGCACACCACAAGCACACCAAGATTTATTGCACGTGTACTGCTGAATTTTGGTGTCATGGGAAGGTACACAAGCTGGAAGATTTAACATTTTCTATTTTCGGTCCAATTTAAGTTGCAGAAAAAAAAAGAAATGCCTTCCCTTACGACCACAAATGAAAACCTGTGGAAAGTAAAGTCCTTATTTGAGTGCTCAAAAGTCCCGTGGGCCAGTTTAGAGGGATAAATTCATATTCAAATGATGCACTGGTATAACAAAAGCAGCCAGGCTGCAGAGAGAATAAAGCCAAACTTAATACTAGAAATTAAAAATAACACCATCCATTCATCTGGATGGAATGACTCCACACAGTAGTTATTTCCCAGTTCCAAAGGAGGTCAACTTCTTTCTTATCATCGAGATCCTACAGGGATTTAATGCCCACAGTGCTGTCTCCTACCGGAAGGAAACACTGACTTCCCTAGCTATTTCAGTTATATAAATCAACAGTTTATCAGTTTATCGTCCAGAGTTAGAAGCTGGTCAGTGTTGGGACCCACATGCCTTTTAGATCTGCCCCAACAGTGGATAACCATGTTAAGTTACATCTAATAAATTCACCTAGATCAATATCATTTCTGACTATCCCAGGGTTTTTATTGCTGTAAGGATCTTTCAATTTTAAAAAAAGTTTTTAAAAACTTCCTGATAAGAGAGACTTGGTGGTGGCGCCACTATCCACCAGAGAGAAGTCTGCCCCTTTAAAGCTGTTTACCTTATTCTTTTAATTTTAAAAATAATACACTTTGCTTTTTCATATAATGGAACAACTGTCCTTAAAAGAAGTAAGAGAAATTTAAGATTGGTGGCTATTTCTTGGCCTCAACAGTAAAGTCACTGCGTGGGGTGGGGGGGCGGGGCGTGCATGCATTAGAGAGAGAGGAGAAAGTGAGAAAGGAAAAGGGGATATTTCAGGGGGGGAAAGAAACCTTTTCTTCAAACGTGGGAGCAGCCCACTAGGGGCCTACTTCAGATTTTCACCCATTATATCCCCTGGGTTTTAGCTATGGGGCAAGCACCATCTGTCCCCACACAAATAGGTGAAAAAGGCTGGGCCCAAGTCACTGACCCTGATTTTAGGGCTTTCCCTAATTGCTAAGGAAGAATCCTCTCAAAAATTAAAAAAAAAAAAGGCCCACTCCCGTCCCCCAGCCTTGCCCCTGCCCCGGGGGCTGTCAGGGCCCCCTCAGCTCTCCAGAACTTGGGAGCTCTGGGTGAATTATGACCTCCTCCTGGGCCCCCTCAATGTACTATTACTGTGTGGTGTCAAATGCCTTTGTACATCACTTTCCCAGTCCTTTGTCCCTAAATATGATCCATTACCTAAAAGAACAGTTCTTCTTTCACACTTCTGATGTGTAAGATGAGCTCACTCACCAGGTACCTGCTGCCTGTCACTCACGGAAGCAGCCCCAAAAATTGGTTCACCTACTTCTTTCTCCCCACAGTTTTTCGGGTTCATTATAATCTTCTGTTTTGCCTACAGTCTAATTATCATAGCACATCTCCCAACTTGCCCTTAACTCATCAATTACCCCCATTTTACAGAGGGAAAAGGCTAGGCCAAGTCCAACACAAATGCCTGCCATGCAGCAAACCCATCTCACACCTGCTATGGCAACACACAGAAATGCTCCGAGACGGCGGGGAGGGTAGTGGTGGGAGGCAGCAGTGGGTTTTGCAAGAGGCATACCAAGTTTCTCTCTCTTCAGGCATATTTGGCCTTGGCAGAATGTCAAGTGCTTCCCGGTCTGGGAGTCCAGGCCAGAACCCTCACCTCCTGAGCACAACAGCCAACCTTTATTGCACATCAACCATGTGCTAGGTGCTGTGTGGCCGCCTCTGCTCATTACTTCCAATTCATTCATTTCTATGACTTGGAAGCAATTCCTATCTGTAGATGCCCTCACACACATTTACAGGGATGTGACCCCTCAAATATTTAGTAACGTGCCGATTTTGCGCCATAACTTGTCCAAAACCACACAACTAGGAAAGAGACCCAGAATCTGATTCAGGTCCTTCTGACTTCAAAGCTGTCCCTTCCCTTTTTAACACCCCACCTTTCTGGTCCTATGGGTTTCATTTAAAACAATAAATATGTGTCCTGATGCAGGACACCCTAAGCCCCGCCATCTCCATCTTTCCCCTTCCCCTCAAGGCAGTGCGTACAGCAAACCAGGAAGACGCAGGAGAAGAGCAATCAAGTCTGCAGCAGCTTCCTGCCTGGACTTGACTACCACAGAAGGAGAGGGCCTAGGAAACTCTCCAAGCCCTTCTCCACAGAAGAAAATAGCTCCAGTTGAAACTTGTGTCCACATGGTCCACCGACAGATTTAGAACTCAAATTATAGCCTCAGCAGGAGTCTTCACAAAGGACTCGAATTAAGCAAGACCCAGATGGAAATGAAGGAGAGAGACAGCTGTAAGTAGAATGTAAAGTGAACTGCAGTCCTAATAGACTCAGAAAAAAGAACTTGTTGAAATGCTAAACCAAACAGAGGTTCAGCATACATTTCAGAACTCCACTTCAGGGAAGTTCTCTTCCACATTTTAGCCAGAGACTTGCGCATGGACACGAAGTGGTTACAAGTTACTCAGGTTTCAAACTGAGTTCATTCCTGTCCTTTGGACCATCTCTCAATACCAGCATTCATCTACTTGGGCTCCAGAGAGCTCTGCATTTGGCAAAGCAGATAAAATTAGCTACTGAAGTGAACTTGGATTCCAGGGTGGGCCATTAAAAAAAAAGTACACATGAGATTTGTAAAAGCCACGTAAAAAACTTCCTTTGGGCCAAGCTGAAGTCACCTAAAACTTAGAGTGTAGTCAAATTCCCTGTCCCTCATCTCCCATCCACCCTTCCTGGACCTAAGGTGACCCATTTCCTGCTTCTGACTGCCTTTCCAACCAGGGTGGCCCACAAACTGAGGATCCTCTAGAGATGAAGGGGTGAAGCAGAGTGCCTAGGGACAGAAAATACAGCTGGAGGACCTGAAGCTGCATTTTTCTTCTCTTTTTTGGGAGGGATCGGGGGAGATGAGTTACACCACGCAGAGGGAGGACTGAGGGATGGGACAGTGTGATCATGGGGGCACAATACTCCAGCCCTGTCCCTCCTGCCTCCAGACAGGGCCGACAACATTATGGCAGCCCATGACTTAAAAATAGGGTAACCAAAGAGGTCACCTGGCAACAGCTCCTGCTCCCCCAAATCTAGCAGGTCTTAGAAGGACAAGAGAAAACAGTACTTTTGGCCTCTCCATCTCCCAATCTCCCTTCCAGCCACAAAATCCTCCAACCCCCTGGAAGTTGAGGTAAAAGTTCAGAGAAGATGCACACACGCCTCCCCCAAATCTGGCAAGAAAGAGTGAAGGGGGGATCACATTTCTAGTCTCTCCTTCTAGAATGTGCCACAAAGACAAGTGGGGGAAACCTTGAAGTTGGGGGCTCCAAAGAGAAACGAGGAAAGAGTTGCTCCCTTATAGAAACAGAAAGGAAATTTCAGGAAAGGGGGAATGTCCTCAGGCAAGTGGGTGGAGAGCCCCTGGGAATGCAGAAGGATGGCTCAGGGGATGAAAAAATCCAGGATCTCCCATCCACAGAGAGGCTATCTTGGAAAAGCAGAGACAACCTCCAGATACATGAGGGTCCTGCAGGAGTGAGACATGTCATCTTAGGGAAGACCCTCTGGAAAAGCCAGGGACCCCTCAGAAAACTGTGGCATCCATCGATTAGTGGGGGACCGAAAGAAATGAAAACTATTTAGGAAAAGTGGGGAACTTCTCAGAGAACGGAGGACCCAGCACACATATCGGAATTCAGGGTAGTATGAAGGCACTCATCAAAAAAGGAGGGGGGCCTCCAAAAGTAGGGATAGTCAGGAAAGTGCGGAACACCCCCAAGAAGGATTCGGACACAAGCAGGAACACCAGAGATTAGCTGGCGTACACTTGGGAGGAGGTCATCCAAAGAAGTGCAGACAGAAAAGCAGGGAGGACAGCTCAGAAAGGTAGGGAAAGGGGACCTAGGAAAAGTGGGAGACACCTGAATGAAAGGGGACCCCGACTCAGAAAAGCAGGGGGCTCCTCCGGGAACATGGCGGAGCAGGAGTCTCGTGGGGGGGCGGGAAGACATCCCTAGAGGGGTGGCGGTCCCGCAGAGAGGTGAGGGGGAGAATATCCTATAAACGGGAATGACTCCTGAGAACAGGGGGTTCCTCCAGGGAAACAAGAGAACCCAGGGAGACGAGGGTCCCATAAAGGTGGTGGGTTCCCTGGAGAAAAACACCCCATCAGAGAAGCTGGGGTCCCTTAGAGAAACTGGGAGGGGGAGTCTCAGAGAAGGGGGGATGGGCCGCTCAAATAGATGGGAGCCCTCAGCTGCGGGGGACTCGAGAAGCAGGGGTCCTACGGAGAGGTGAGATCTCCCCAAAAAGTGGAGGGTCCATCAGAGAAGGGGGCTCCTCAGCAGAAGAGTGGAGGTCTTTCAGAGAGGTGGGTTTCCTTACAGGAAGAGAACCCCCAGAAAAAGCGGGGCTCCCCCCAGAGAAGCGGGTCCCCTCGGACAAGGTGGTCCACGCACTAGAGGCGGTCACCTCGGAGAAACAGAAGCCCCCAGAGAAGCCCCGGGCACCGGAAGCCGGAGAGAGACCAGCCAACAGCGGCGCCGTCCCCTTACACACCGAAGTTACTTGGAGCCTCCTGGGCGGCTTCGGGCGGCGGGGTCCGGGCCGGTCCGGTTGGGTCCAGCGGCGGTGGCTCCCTCAGGTGGCGCCCGCGGCGGCAGCGGCAGGACTACGGACGACTGACCGACCGATTGCGCGGGCGGCGCGGGGCGCGCTCGGGAGGCAGGGGTGCGCGTGCGCGCGCCGGGGCGCTGACCCCGGGCGGGAGGAGCCGCCGCGTCGCCCTCGGAGCCGCCACGCCGCGCTCAGAGCGCCGCTGGGTCTAGCAGTTCCTTCTCACACTGAAATTGCCCGCTTCGCCGCCCGGCTTCCCCGGTTGCTAGGCAGATTTCGCCTCGCACTCTTCCGGGTTGATGAGAGTCTTGCTGAGTGGCGGCGCCTCAGACCAATGAGGTTGGGCCGGCGCTCCCAGGATCCGCGCTCTGCGGGGGGCGTAGCCAGTTTCACGACGGACAGCGCTCCGCAGCCAATGAGCGCACGACCCGGCTGGCCCTTAGGAAAGCGCTGGCGGCCTGGGCGGGCCCGAGGAGGCGGGATGGGATGACTGACAGTAGACCTGCCAATGGAAGAGTGGAGCGGGCCTCAGGGCCAAGTCAGGGCCCAGCAGGGGGGCGGGTCTTCTGCTTCGGGGCGGGAACGCCGCGAGGGGCGGAGCCTGGAGGACGCGTCAATCCGTGGCCAGCTCGCTCGGACCCCGAAGGGCGGTTCGGCTGGGCCGCCCAGCGGCCGACATCTGTCTGGGCAGGGGGTTCCCCGTAGTGCTCAGCAGGGGCGCCCCACCCACAATGCACCAGAGGCGTCCTGGGCCCGGCAGCCACGGGGTGGAGACGCCTGATGGTGGGCGGGGCCGCAGGAGGCGCGCGCCGAGGACCCGGGTCCCGCTTGGTTCCCCAGGGCGTCGGTGGGCCCTGCGCTCCTTTCTGAGTGGAGTTGTGGAACTGGACCTTCTTAGCAGGATAATCTTGGGAATTCATTTATTGCCCCCCATTCTGAGAACTATCTTCGCGAATCTTGCCCCTGGGCCCGCCCCTCTATGGAGAGTTTTGACGATTCCTGCCCTGCCCGCTCCTCTGAGAACTGCCAGGGCGCGAATTATCTCGCATATGTGGGACCTCAAGCTGTCTTTGCTTAGAAGAGTTGCGAGGGCCCGGGCCTCGCCCCCTTTGCCAAGGAGACCTTGGGGAACTCAGCGCCGTTCCGGGCAGCAGGGGGCTGCGTGCCCCTGGCCTTCATATCTGAATATGACTTGGGAAGTTCCTGCCATGTTTGTACCTTCTCCGCAACCCCAGGAGAAATCTGGGACTTCAAGCACCCCTCCTTCTCCAAAGAGGACTTGCAGGAGTTGGATGTTCCCATCGCCCCTTTTCCTAAAGAAATGCGGGGAGTCGTGCTCCCTGTACTTTATCTAAGCGGCAGTTGAGTGTTGCAGGAAGGGTTCCCCTTTTCCTAAGCAGTCACTATGACCATCTGACTTCCCTAGATAAGGGTGGGAAGTTACACTTTCTTTTTGGAAAGCTCCCCATTAGGCCCTCTTTCCCCTTTGAGACGATTTCTGTACAGCTGTCACGTCTTCTACTCTTCCCCAAGAATCAACTTCCTGATCCTGCCCACCCCACTACCCTCCAGCTCTTCAGTCTGTTTTCTTCTCTGCTGAGTGGCGGGGGAGGGAGGGGCCTTCTGAGATGAATTCCTGCTTCCCACCCACCACATACAAAATGAATCAGTCCCTCAAATTCTGTGAATAGTGTCTGAGCCTCTGCCAGAGCACACACCACGGTCCACCAGGTATCCCAGGACCTCCTCTGTCTGCCCCAGGTTGGTCTGAGCTACTCACCTGATTTCCCCACAGAAGAACCCACCTTTGCTTAGTAGGTAACCAAACGTCCATTGGATCAAAGTGGTGAAGAAGGTACTGCAAAGACCCCAAAACTGCAAAGACTCCATGTGTCAAAGTTTTATCCACCACTACCAATACCCCACCCCCACTGATTTTGTGTCCAGAAGGGTGCGAGGTGCTGAGACCCCTGAATCACAGGGCAGAACGTGTGAACCAAGACAGCACAAGAAAGGGAAATGGTCCTGTTGGGCAAGGAAGAATATTATATGAAGAGATACTGAGAAAACAGTGTAGGAAGGTAGAGGAGGAAGCGATTAAATGAGATAATGGATGTGAAAGTGCTTTGTAAACCGTGCGGGGGTGTACCCTTTGGTAAGGATTATTGTTACTGTTCCAAGTGGGCTGACATCCTGGAAGAAAAGTCAAGTATAAATCTTGAGCATCACAGGGATGGGAGGTTGGCAGGGAGCCCTGTGGGGCCTGATTTCCTGAGTGAGCTCAGCCGGGACCCAAGTGGCATAGCTAAGTCCACAGCACAGTAAGGAAGCCACTGGAAACCTGAAGACAACGTGTTCCCAGATTGCCTTGTTTGCATGTCTGTTGCGACACTTACCACATTCTGCAGGGGGATGAGGCAGTTGGGGTGGACCATGAACACCCGGACTTTGATGGCTGGTAGACCTGGGCTCAAACCCATACCTGCCACTCCCTAGTTAGACCAGTTACTTTCCTTGGACACAGTGGTCGCACTGAGAATTGTGAGCTCAAAATGCCTTGCACGGAGCCTGGTGCACAGAGGGACTCAGGGGATACTCCCTTCATTCCAGTCACTAGCCAAGATGTTTCTCATCCAGACTTACTTGCTTAAGTAATCCCTCAGTGCTTTTACGGTTGCCAACTGACCCGGGATCAAAGAGCAACTCATTGTCCAACCCCTTCATTTTATACATGAGAAACAAAAGAGGCCCAGAGGGCAACTGTGACTGTTCATGTGCCGCTGCTACTGGATGGCTGGATCCTGAGCTTGCATGGCCTCACTCTCACTTTGGGTCTACGTAGGTGTACAAAAGGAGAGAAGGGGAGCTGTGCCCTGGAGTCCTATGCAAAGCAGAGCCACTTCAAGAATCTATAACGTCCTGAGCCTTATCTCTCTCTTAGGCAAACTGTCAGAAGGTTCTGGATATAGGTCTAATAGAGACCCCAAACTCAAGAGCCCCCAAACTGGAGGCCCCAGCCGGGGTCAAGTCCACCTCAATTACTTTGTCAAAGGGAGGTTGTAAATGAAGTCAGGTTATTTCAGGGCTACCCTGTGTGATTTCCAGACTGAACCCTGGAAATGTCAGGACCTATAATTACATCTCACCTTCTTATTTTAAGAAAGCACAAAATTTCTTTAATTCTCTGGAAAAAGGTACTGCCTGCAGGCAGTGATGTTGGATTGAGGGATGTCCATGAAGTCTGGAATCCTAAGCATACCCGTCCCATTGGCTGGAAAATTGTATCCTCAAGGAATCTCAAGCAAATGGAGCAATTCACCAAAGAGAGTGAACTGCCCCACCAAAACGGATGACAGGAGCACAGCTTCTGACATGAAAAATGAAAAGAAGGGGCACATGACCTACACCGGGCATGGGCTTTCCTTTCCACAGTGGCAGACTCGATTGCATCTCCCTGCATCAAGGCGTGTCCCTTCCTGGGTCTGGGAAATCATGTGGACAAACTGGCTAAGTGACATTCACATCCAAATAGGGAAACAGGAACTGAGCCAGGTGACTGAACAGGTAGCAGGGAAGGCAGAGCCTCAGTGGCAGTTAAAAAATGAGGACCTGGTGGGTGCCAGTCTGCAGAGACCTCCTGTCAGTGTGGTGGCCTTGGACGAAGAAGAGTGCCCACTGACAGTGTGCCCCATGACAGCCAGTTAACACCAGTGGAAAGGGTACAAAGCGAAAAGTTAAAGCCCCCCAGTGTCACTTGGCATTGGTGGTTCAGGTACCCACAGCAAAGTGCCCCTCATCATTGCCTCCTAAGACTATTGAATTCCAAACACCATTTGGGTTCACCAAACTCTTTAAGGTTCATATATGTGAATTGTTAATCTAACTGCATCCTTTGGCAAGTCCATTGGAAATTGGCCTGGTTCTCTCAGGGAAAGGGTGGTAAAAAAAAGTCAGTGTCTGTTCCTAAAGAAAAATAGATACCACAAAACCAAGAGGTTGGCCTAAGTCGTCCCCCTGCTTCCCCAAAAGAAAGGCAGGTAGCACCTGGATTATCCAGGGGTGGGGAGCAAAGAGTAGTTTTATTGGTGTTGGTTGGCTGGAAAATCTGGAATAGAGTCCACATGGAGCCCAGCAGCACTTTCAGACATGCTCTTTAAGACTCTAGGTAAAAAACCTGGACTCTAGTAGCAAGTCTTACCTGGTTCTTACTGACATCATGAATGGGATTAGTGATAAACCTTTCCTGAAGCAGAAAGGATTGTCTACACCTGTAGCCTAGAAGATCACCTTCAGCCTCCAAGACTTCTAAGGCAAAAGGATGACTTCCCCGACTAGGAAGGAAACCCTTTCTGAACAGGAAGGGAGTTCGTCTTAGGCAGGTGGACACTTAGTGTACAGAAGGGAGAGCCAGCTGCAGAGCTAGCTGGGGTGTAGGGGCGGGGAGAGGGGCCTTCCCGCCGCCTGTGGAGACTTGTCTCCAAATTCGATGCCATGTGAAGGCTTATAAGCATCTCAGGCGAGCCCTCACATCTGAGCCTAAAACTCACGTCAGGGCTTTTGTCCTTCTGTGTTTCAGACCCTTCCCTCAACTTCTCTCTGCCTTGAAACAGCCCCAGGCCCCAGGACCCAAATGACTCCCTCCCTGCCTCCAAGGGGCACGTGCGATGCGCCTGTGGATCCCGGCCTGCTGCTTTCTTTCATTCCTTCGCCATGTCAGGCTGGTGTCTAATCCTTCCAATAAAATCTCGCTCTCAAGGGACCGAGAACTCAGCGATTCCTCCTCCAGGAGCCCTTCTCAGTCTATATTTTCTCCTACCTCCAGCATCTAGAGGACATTCCCTTCGCCGTAAAATGTCTTTCACTGGCTTCTGGGGAGCTTGCCTCTTCTGGTCTCCTGTTCAAGTCTCCATCCAACATCTACCTGTAAAGTCGGTCAGGCTGCTCGTCCCTTGCCACTCTATGCTTCTTCAGAGAATAAATCCCTCTGCGGAGTGGGACTCTGTAAGAACCCTCAGATCTATATTTCCAGTCCACCCGAGTTCCTGCCCAGGGTCCCCTTTCCCTGTAGAGGATTCCACGTGGATGTAACTCACACCTGACAGCAAACAGCCAAAACTGGATGTCTCTCTCTTTGACCCATTCTTCATTCTTTTTTTTTTTAAACAAAAGTTCTCACATATTACTGAACCAACCTACTGGTGTGGAAGCATAGAAACGAAGAGAAAAAAATCCTTTTCCCAGTAAACATGTCCAGCAGTCCAGAG